AAAGAATGGTCAGAAGTGAGATTCTGATTAGAACCTTTGACCGCCGATTGAGTGAAGATCATCATATAAAGCTGATTTTCCTGAGCACTGATCATAAACAATTCGTTGTCACGCACCTTCGTTAGTTTGCGATAGCCTAACTAGATATTTTATGAAAGGATAAATTCTTGAGATTTTGATCAATCCCGTCTGAGGGATGCGCTCATGCATTCGACTTTCAATAAGAATCATAATGCGTACTGAATGCGTATGTGGCCTATACAATGACTTGCACTGGCCAGCCGATGTGCAGGTCAGTGCTTTTATCCTCCCAGACGAGCCTGGTACCAATTAATTGACTACGGAGGGATGGAAGGCTTGGTTGGCCTAGGCGGATATCGACCCGGGATTCAAACCTGTAACACTACGTGTGTGAAGTGCGCCAGTTGTCACTACACCTCCTCCGCCCAGTTATTTTATATATAACAGTTATCAAGATCTGATGACGACTTCTTCTGTGTCACTATTCCTCCGTAGTAAACACATCAGCAAATCTGAGGACGTAGCAACGGGATACACCTGAAGCCAGTAAATGGCTGCTTCCGACGGAGAGCGATAACGGCCTCAATACATTATACTAGTGAGCCCTCCTGACACTGAGTCTATGCTGCTTTTCAGCGAGGAAACAAAAACTCTCGCATCAACTGTATGAGTCTGTGAGAACCCTGCCAGCACAATTCCTTCCTTTTCTAGCCATTCGTTTCTAGCGATCATGTGGGGAAGCCCCACGTCACCTCTGAGAACGTTCTGGCTTAAAAGCATGCCCAACGTTCGTCTCTAAGTAATACTGGGAAGACCTTTCACTCTCTTGGCTCGAAATGGCAGGAAAGGGAAACAAAAGCAACATGTCCGGATAATAAAAAGAGTGTTGCCGAGAGTTTTCACGGAGAGGTCATGAACTTCATTCTCAATTTACGATGATGAACTAGGAACAAAGAGGCGGTTTGTGATAATTCAGTCAAATGGCGCGATATCACTACAAAGTCGCTGGAAGACTACGTAACTCTTTTAATCAATTTAATTGGACGCTGTTGTTGGGGTAGAAGTAAACAAGAGGGGTGTTTGGTCCATGCCCTTTGATTCCTCCTCCAAATAGTTTTTTGACCTCGTTTGTTGCTATGGCTTTGCTGGCTTCAATAAATTTACCTTCCAATGAGCCGTGACTTCGTTCAATGCCGATGGCGAAGTATCTTTTATGATTCTCATTTTTCGTTGTCAATCAAATCACGTTACGAGATCTACTATAATAGTGCCTTCATCTATTTCATCTTCTATAAATCGTCAAATGAGTTATAGGCTTGATTATTGCTATGCTGATGATGACCTAAAACCCAAACAGATACCCACTGAATCTTGCATTTTGGCGCTTATCATCAATCTATGTAAGCAGTAGAAAGTATTTATTCACTATTAATGTCGACTGAAAACATGGAACTGAAGGGTGTCCACACAGTACTCATCAGGTTATTGTTCATATGCAAATATGATATCTTATTTATAAAAACTGCACGCAATCTGGAGCCGCAAAACTGGGGTGGCAACAGATATTGGTAGTTTCAAAGGGTAGGTACTGCAGAATGGGGCAGTAAATCGCACGATATTGAGTATTGAAAAAAACCCGCAGGAAACAAAACACAGGAACAGTTTTTTAGTCATTATATTGCAACAGTTCTTAAGAACATCGATGGGGATCTTAATTGAAACAACAAAAAATGTTTATTTTTTGCTGTTCCCATTAGAGGGCTGCCAGTCAGAGTGCACGATTAACAAGGCTCAAGTATGGAGGAGGTGTGCGGTGAGAGAAGTAGGCGGTGCCCAACCACATTTGGAAATTAATGGCCATACAACATCGGAGTGGTGAATAGTAAGGTTTCGCTGCTACACCGTACTTAGAAAATGGCCTCAGTGACATACAAGAAAAGCGCAAACTCCGCCGACATTTTCATCTGACGCCTGTGCTAAAGTCGGAAATTTTTGGGGAAGCAGCCGAATTCGTGAACTGTCCTCGTGATGGTTTACTACGTGTGGACGTGCGTTGTTGTGTAGCAGGAAAACTTCGCTGATACGAGGATGTGGCTATGCGGGTTTCACAGCAACTCTAGGCAGCTGCAAACAGTTCCGTCAACGGTGGTGTTGTCGGACAGAATATCGTAGTGATGCAGCCGTCGGACACTCCACCGAAGACGGGGCATGAATTTCCTCGATTGAGGCTGTCTTCTTGGAACTGGCAATGGTTGTTGATCTGCATCCCCCACTGACACCTTGTACAGTTTACGTAGACTACTGCTTCTCGCCTCACCATCAGTAACGATCTTGTTAAACCAGTCGAAACGGCGACTTCTGACTGGCAAACTTTGGCAGGTCTTCAAGTATTTGCAGGCAGTATTACTTAATTCGTTCGAAATCCGCTCCCCAGCTTGTAGAAATTCTCCATATGTTGGAGAAAAGGCTCACAGTCTTCTGGGAGCACTACTTGTCTGTGGCGATATGACACTGGTAGCATACGGATTGCTCTGTAGGACAAAATCTGTGGTCAGTGGACGTTCCGAAAGTGGTTGGTTCTCACGGCGGTAGTGACCTTTGCGGAATATCTGGAACGAAAACGACACTGCTTCATATTCTTTTTATCTGCGGCACAAATGTCAGTGACATGCTTCGCTTGCTGAGTGTCCTAGACTGAACTCATAAGAAGACAGCATTCAAATAGACGGTATTCTTAATTCATAGAGACGAGTAGGGACACAAAATGTTTGCTGAGGTCTCTCCATCCACCTTTGGGAACAACAAGAACGTCTTTAATGACTTATGCCCTTTAACCGTTCACATGGCATTAGGATCCAATGCCTGATTACGTGGTCGTCCTAGGGCATACGTATAATAGGGTCGCGCTCATCTGATCTCCTGCTGTATTTGGCGACGGATTTTCCGCGTCTGTAATAGAATACAGGTGCATAAATTTACCCATGTTGTCATATGTGTGAGTGTACTTTGGCCATGAATACATAGGTCCACTTCTCATCAACCTAGCGGTGAGACTGTTTTTTGGTCTCAGATAGCATTTGATAGCTGCTAATAAAAAGAAAGCAAGAGTCTTTGGGTATGCTAACAATGGAAGTGGACTTTATTTGATGGTGTGGAATGTGTGAAATGTATACTGTAGGGGACTGGGGCTGGTAGAAGCTGGTAGGAACAGAATACAGGCATCAAAATGACCTCTTCCAAAGAAATCATTCCGTTTTCATGTAGACAGTGGATTCATGCCACTTCGAGTGTGTGATGAAAAATGTGACAGGTTCGCACATAAGAGGTTGCAGAAATTTTAGCAGCTAACAAAGGCTAATAGCAGATTTCAAGAAAAAGTTCCACCACTTACTGATCTTTTTGGTATCTCAGATAGAGCCTTGAAACATTACATACAATTAGACGGGGTAGTATGCTGATTCGGGAAAAAGTGACCGTAAAGGTGACAACGGTTATTTGAAGTGTAACCTCCATATAT